ATGTTATTGCATGCGTTTTAAAAATGTTTTTCTTTTACACAAATATGTTCTCAAAACAAACACAATTTCTCCTAGGTGTAATGAAAATTAGAACATTGGTATATTCGCAAGCTATATTGCCGGCAAATTGAACGAAATCCTATTTAAACACAACACAAAATATTCAATTTGTGAAGAAAGAGCCCTAACTGAGAAACTCGTGAAAATAAACCGCATTTATTTACAGTTAGACTTACACTAGATAATTGAACCGAAATTTATTGCCAACAAAAATGGATGGATGGTTTCTAAATCATTTACCAACTTTTGCTTTCATTCTAGATATTTCATTTGAAGCTGAATTTCAAAAGAGACGAATTTCAACTCTACTGCAAACTTGTTTGTATGTGTTTATTACTTGACTAGCTGGTGCCCGCGACTTGGTTCGAGTGGAATTTGAAAAGCGCTGCCTTAGTGGGTTCGATTCCCGGACCGGGCATTTTTTAATAGGGTTTTTCTGAGAGCAAAAATAGCCTAAGTTACTCCCTATATAGACAGCCCTCTGATAGTAAAATATTATTAAAATCGGTCCAGCAGTTTTGAAAATTACTCGGGATAAACATACAGATGAATTTTAAGTATTATTAAACACTTTAAGACGCCGGACTCAAAATTATTCGTTATTAATAAATTCGATTTTTCGGACATTTTAACTATTATTCGTATTCAATTAAATTTGAAGAGCCTAGACCTAACTACGTGACTTTGAAATGAAAATAACATCTATTATGTATAAAATGGTTATTTTGATTTATTTCAAAGATTTAAATTTAGTCATTAAGAATCTTGCAACCAAATTAAAAATAGCTACATAACATCATGGTTTTACGGAAAAGGTTATTGAAATTGTTCGAGTTACGTCTATACAAAGTTTTTGAGTCTATGGTGGACTATGGACCGGGGTGGCGGCGAGCGCGTTGCGAAGCGTCCAGGGAGCACAGGGAACATGGGGTTCCCACACGGGGGGGGGGGGGTCGTCTACTCGTCTGTAGATGACCCGAGGTATGTCGGGGCACCAGGGACTTCCTTTCTAGGGTATATATAGCCTGGTTCCCCGGCTATTAATACCCGAGACGGCGTGCGGTTTTAGTCGGTTCGAGTCCGACATGCCACCGACAGATGGTATCCGAGGGGATTTCCGCACGGGAAAAAAAAAAAACTGGACTATGGAGTATATTAGACAAATACCTACTAAATACCTATATTAGACAAATACCTAAAATAAGTACCTTAAACGTGACATATGTCACGTTTAAGGTACTTCATATTATTCGTCGCATGGTGATAACAAAGTTAACAAACATAGCATGATATTCATAATTTATTAATGATACAAATACATTTGTTACACTATGGTAATAAATGATCGGTGCACGGATTTAGACTGCATGGATGGTGTAGTGGTTTAAGCGGTCGCCACACCGCTTCCTACTACGCTACGTGTTGTGGGTCCGATCCCCACATGGGACGACACTTTGTGTGATCCACAAATTGTTGTTCTGAGTCGGGGTGTTCTTTGTGTCCGTTTCATGTATGTTTATAAGGCCCCCTCGACATAGGATATATTCCTAATGCGGGAGTTATCTCTTTAAAAATAAAAGATTGAATAAATTTGACTTAGGCTATGAACTAACAGTTAAATACAGGGCTAATAGCAGGCTGTAATAATTCATACTTAATATTGTAAATGTGAAATTGAGTAAGTTTGTTACGTGTACACGCCTAAACCACTAAACCGATTTGAAAAATTATTACACCAATGAAAGTTACATTATCATCGAGTAACATAGTCTGTTTTCTACCGCGATTATCAACGTACAGGCAGGCGGAGCCGCGGTCAAAAGCTAGTCAATCTATATTTTTTGTGGTGTAGGAAGACAAAGGAGCAGTAAGATCACCGGTGGACACCTGCCACTCAAGAGTCACTGAATCTGCACTTTAACTCCTCCTCTCCTCAGAATCAGGGGTAGGGGGTTTCTCCGGCAACCCCACTCACTCGATGCATGGCACTCCCACGCATCTGTCTGTCTGTATGAACGTGATAAACTCTAAGAGTACCGAAACGGTTACCATAATCCACGCGGGCGAAGCTGTGTGGGCGGAAGCTAGTTTTATATAAATTTAGAAACTGACTGATAGATCAACGCACAGCTAAAACCACGAGGTCTAGGAGTATAATATGTTCACCTGGGACTTCCTTTCTAGGGTATACCTGGTTCCCCGGCTATTAGTACCCGAGACGGCGTGCGGTTTTAGTCGGTGTCCGACATGCCACCGATAGGTGGTATCCGAGGGGATTTCCGCACGAAAAAAAAAAGGAGTATAATATGCTGCATTAATGTTCTTTTAATGACGTAAATGTACACTAAGAAGGGATTTTTAGAAGTTCATCCCCTATAAAAGGGTTAAACAGAGGGATCAAAGTTTGTATGAAATTTGATCAAAGAAGTTAGAAATGTGAAAAATGACACAATGTACACTGTTTGTGTCTTCAAGTTCTCTTTTTCTGGTCGAGCGTGAGTTGTCCATAAAAAATATTGTAGTTGACGAATTTGTTTAATAATGCGAATATATCCTGTTGCATGCAAGGATTACTTCATCATCATCATCAACTTCATCATACATGGGAAACTTGACACAAACCCTATACCAGCCCGTCTGGCCAGCGTGGCATAGTAGGCCAAAACCTCCTTTCTAAGGAGAGGCCTATGTCCAGCAGTGAACAAGTAAAGGATGTTGATGATAATGACATAAAAAAAATCCGTCCAAATAAACTAACAAACTCAGATGGCACCAAAGATCATTCAAAAATGTTTATCAAAACTTATTTAGGTTTAGTTCAAAGCACATAAATATAAGCTCCATGAAACATTGCATAAGGCACATTTCATTTCCCGTGTAATGTCATTTGAAATGATATGTGCCTTATGCAATAATGTTTTACGTGACCTATTAAATTTTGGCTTGTTTACAAATGTCACATTCAAATACAGAGCAATGATACGGTTCGTGTATTAAAATCCGGAAAACTATTATTGAATTTTGTTTAATTAACATTTAAATGTTATTTGTAATAGTAATAATAAATAAAGTATTTGTGTGTAGCAATGCTGTACGCAGTAATATGTTAAAGCTCAGTAATCTTAACGAAGATGATATACACAAAGTTTTGACTCTATAAATATTAAAATAATAGCTGATTTTTGGTGAATAAATTCGCTAATGGTAATATTTGCACCCGAATGAGCCATAATCTTTAACAATTGTTGTGATGATAGTGTACTGTTAGTGATTTAATAAAATTAGATAAGTTAAGCCCTTTTTAAATAAGCGTAGGGTGCTAAGTGTGTCAAAAACATTGTAAATTTTTAATTAACAAATATTTGTATTAGATTACAGAATATCTAAAAGAACCTCCACGCTTTTTAAAATAAAAATAAAATCTTTCTATTTTTCTTTTTGAACTTCTCCAAACAAAAAAAAATATATACCATCAATCAACCCGAGGGGGAGGTCGCACTTAAAGGGCATTAACCTATGTCTCTTCAGATGGAAGTGCCCATGGGTGGCGGTAATGACTTATCATAATGCGACCCGTCTGTCGGTTTAAATTTAAAACCGTGGCTCGTTTGTATTATGTACATATATTCCATAAGAGCGAGGTCTCCTCTTCTTTTACTCTTCTACTAAAATTATACTTTAAACCTACCAAAAAAGAGTGTAGCCTTAAAAACCTGCAAAGCATTCTTGACTTGTGAAGTGCATGTGATCCAGGCAGGGTCGTCATCATCGTCTTGTCTGTGTGTGTGCTGACTACACCACATAGTTGAGTTTCACGGTACTCATTTACGATCTGACCCGGATTTGTTGCTCTCCAGTGTAGTAAGGACGACTTACCATAATTAATATAATACTTTTAATAATGTGATATGTGTGTAGAACGGTTTAACCTAATATGCTAATTAATATTTATTTTATTTGTAAAACGGGGCACGATCTTAAACTAACTCACATGACTATACTTGATTGAAGGCACACTATGCTTTATATTGAACTCTCGTGATGTGAATATTTTGGTACTGGTATGTTTGAATAAATAATTTAGATTGTGAATGAAATAATAATTATTAAGTTACACATACACACGGCAGTCTAATCCCAAACTGGTCAGACCCTGTGCTATGATAACCAGACTGCTAATAAACAGACTTAAATATTTCTAAATACATACATGATAGCTGATAAATTACACTCATACCCAGAACTAATGATCGTGACACAATTATTTGTCCTGGGTGAGAATCTAACCCACGACCTCTGGCTATTTGGCTCTGGATCTTGCCGCCCCTAGCAGGTTTGCTAATGGGAATTTTAAAAGAAAAACGCAATAATAATATTGAATATCCCACGCAAGTATACGTCTTTTACCGTGGGAAAGCCATGCTTCGGCACGAATGGGCCGGCTCGACCGGAGTGATACCACGACCTCACAGAAAACCGGTGTTCAGCAATTCTTTTGTTGCCTTTTACTGAGTGAGTGAGGTTACCGGAGCCCAAATCCCCCCTCCCGCTGACTCTCATGTTCAGGTGACCCGTCTGCTCGTTTGCCCCCTTATACAATAAAAAAAATATCTAAAGATGCAGCAAAAGATCTACGAGCTAATGATGTTTAATTAAAAACTAACTAACTAAATACTAACTCACTTCACTCATTCGACTGCACAGATGGCGCAGTGGTTTAAGTGGTCGCCACGCCGCTTCCTACTGCGCCGAGTGTTGTGGGTTCAAACCCCACATGGGACGACACTTTGCGTGATCCACAAATTGTTGTTCTGAGTCTGGGTGTTCTTTGTGTCCGTTTCATGTATGTTTGTAAAGTCCCCCGCGACACAGGATATATTCCTAATGCGGCGTCTTTTTAAAAAACAAAAAAAAAACTTTATTCCTCTTTTCATTTTCAGTCAACGTCCCGTTCTTCACACACGGCGTGGAATCCACACACCTGACGACATCAATTCACTCAGGGCATTTCATAAGCTCAAAAAATGTTCCTTGGGCGACTACGGCTATGGTGGTATCCGCTGCAGTGGCAGGGCCAATATTCTGTTACGTGATAGACAGATTTGGACGAAAGACGGGAATTTTTACGATTAGTATGTTGCAAGCGGTAAGCATGTTACAGAGTACTAGCAAGTGTGTTAGATTTATTGTTGAATTAATTATACGGCCTTACAGATAACTAGCGAACTAAGAAACTCCTTTGTTGGTTTTTACTTTTCTAAGGAGAGGCTTATGTCCAGCAATGGACTATTAAAGGCTGTTGATGATGATGATGAGTGAGGTGACCGGAGAAATTTTGAAATACCTACCCGTTTAAAGTTATGACCGTTTCAATTTTCGGATAATATACGTATAGGGTTAAGAAAGAAAATCCATTTCGAATACATTGCATAATCTTGTTTTTTTTTTCTAAATTATGAATTTAATAATTCCTAATTTTATGAGGAGCTGAATAAACAAAATTATTGTTCTGTGTCCGTTTCTCGTATGTTCGTAAATTCCCTTGCGACATAGGATATATTTCTAGTGCGGGAGTTGACTTTAAACAGAAAGAAAAAAAATTAACTAACAGCTGGATTAGAACCAAAACTCTACCTGACTAGTAATAGTAGTGGTCTTAATATCTATGAAATTAGGTAGCGTTTGATTTAACACATTATTTTTAATTTCAGGCGACATTGATACCACATTTTCTCTTGAATCAGAAAAACATATTTACTGTAGAAATTGTCCTGCATATATTAGCTGGAATCACTTCGGGTGGTCTGTTTACAATATTACCAATATACGTCAGAGAAATAACACTATTGAGAGGTTTGTGTGTGTGTGTGATGATTGTGATGACAACAGCGGGTTACGCGATGAAGCTAGTGATGACATTGGAAGAAAGACTGTATTTGATGGTGGGGTTAGTTGCTGTGCAGCTATTTTCAATAATGCTCATGGTGGAGAGCCCTAGTTACATGGTGATGAAGAAGAATTACGAAGTAAGTACACATAATTTAATAAAGAGAATAATAATAACTTCACACATCTCACACACGGCCGTCTGATTCTAAACTAGACAGAGCCTGTGTTATGATAACCAGACTGCTGATAAACATACTTATATATTTCTAAATACATACATATCATAGATAAATTAAACCCAGACACAGAATAAATCATCGTGCTCATCACATAATTATTGAAGTGAAAACTTCTTTAGCGGCGTTGTACACTTTTTTGTAAATATCAAAAATTCACAACGTTAATATTCAAGTTTTCACTTCTGCCGGCACTCCCGGAGTGCAGCCCGTCACCTTTTCTTTTATCCTGAGTGGGAATCGAACCCACTAGACCAACAAGCCCGTCAAGTAACTGACAATATTTGAAAAATGTGCTATAAATAGTGATATTAATAGCTTACGGCTTTGTTATTCATTCAAATGTAATCTTACCCAATCGATATACTAATTTGGATATGATGCAATATTGAATTTTTATTGTACCTTTATCGGTTAATGTATGTATATCATTATTACGTACGAAGTTAAAAACTAACGGCTTCACAAACAATTTTGCTTTTAAAATGTGATTTATAGGAAATACGAGTAAATAAAGTAAATTATGCGTAAGAAAAAAAAAACAAATCTCCAATTCCAGAAAACCAAAAACCTACATATTTTATAATTATAGAAATATTTTTTAAAGTATTTTACAGCTGTAAACAAAAAGTAAACTCCAGTAAAAACAACAACAAAAATGTCCAAAATCAGTAATGCGAAAAGGAAATAAAGACTCCTTCTTCTCCCTTTCTCTATCTCCCTTCTTTTAACAGACTAGTGATTTTTAATTAAAAGTAACGCTGATATAATGGCTATAATTATCATAAATTGAAACAGAATAACTTAGAAGCTACTTATTCCAATTACATCAATAAAATAATCAAATTGAACATTGATAGCTCTCATAAATACACATTTTACCAACAAATCGTACACGGATGCACAAATAAACACATACACTCTCACGCAACACCACAACAGACGCTTGCGATGCTTTTCACATAAGAATGATTAAAAATTCAAGATTTTAATTTATCACACTATAATGAAATATCACATGAATATTGTCAATGACTGCAAAAATGGCGTAGTAATTAAAGCGGTCTACTGCGCTGAATGTTGTGGGTCCGATTCCCACATAAGACAACACTTTGTGTAATCCATAAATTGTTGTTCTGAGTTTAGGTGTTCTTTGTGTCCGTTTCATTAAAGTTTGTAAAGTCCCTCACTCAAGATATATTCCTAGTGGGTAATGTTTTTAAATGTGCTCTGTTTGGTTGTAGAGGGAGCTCAATTATCAGGTTTTATTGCAGTCATCTGTTTCTCATAAATAAAATAACTGTATTAGTATGAAATAGTAATATAAATCATAAAAAAGTAATGTTAAGAAGTACCTAATTAAATTAATAATATTTTTTTTCCAAGCGTTAGACTAAATGATAATTTCGGTACTATTGTTTATGTCATTAAGCCAAAAAGATTTGACACCTATTTGATTACAGAATGCGAGAAGAAATCTATCAAAGCTCCGGTTATTGCCAGAGGATTGTGATGCTATAACAAAAGAAATATCAAATCTCAAAGATGAAAGTGAAAGGGCGAAATCAAATGGAAAACTTTCTGTTTATACCGTATGTGAGTAAAAATAAAGCATTGTACAACTAGAAGGTATCAGGTATCATCAACAGCCCTTGAAAGTCCACTGCTGAACAAAGTCCTCTCCTTACAATGGAGGTTTTGGCCTACTATACCATGCTGCCCAGACGAGTTGGTATAGGGTTTGTTTTAAGTTTTCCTTCAGTTTGCAGTACTATTGTCCTGCGTAGTTTTCTCCCTTAGTTGGCTCTTATGACACCCACGGGATGAATAGGGGTGGTGAATACAAACGAGCAGACGGGTCACCTGATGGAAAGCAACTACCGTTGCCCATGAACGCCTGCAGCTCAGGAGTCACAAGCGCATTGCTAGCCTTTGAGGTCCCTCCTCGCTCTTTTCTTGAAGGTTTGAAGGTCGTATCGGTCCGGAAATACCACAGCCGATAAATTTGATATATTTTAGTATTTACTTGAAGTTTCCACTTTAATGGTATGTTTAGTAATTCGTGGCCATTTGGTATTAATATTCAGAACTATTTACTACTATTTTGCAAAATATTTAACAAAATAGATTTTTGCTATTGTGTGTGTTAGTCTATGATTTTAGTTTAGTTTTCGTAAAAGACGATTTCAAACAATATTATTAAAAATATATGTTGGGTTTGACTTTGACTTCGTACGTATCGTGTTTAAATAAAATATTGTCTTTTATTCCAGAACTCTCACATACATTTTAAAATGTGCCTATATTCTTCCAGATCGTACCAAAGTTTGGCTAGATGCTATAAAAATGGGCTTTGTCTTATACACTGTGAACGTCCTTTGCGGAAGTCTATTGTTCTTGGATGAACATAAAACGCTGATTCAGTTGCCATTAACTAAAGATCCTGAGAGCAAGTTGGTGCTGGCTTGTTTACTGGGAGGAAGTGTGTCGTGTCTGATCTGCGTTGCTTTTCTGGATAAAAAGGTTAGTCATAAGAGTTCATTGTCAGTCTATTATCTATGATTTATTTAGGCAGGGAGATACTAAATAATAAATGAAATTGGCCATGGCTGCCATTGGCTCGAAGTAATTGTTTTTAATTTTCAAGTTTATTATACTATTGTTTATTTCATCTAGTCACGATTTCACTATCTGGCCTGTTGACTGCTAAATCGGAGGTCGTGGGTTCGATTCCCACTCAGGACAAATATTGTGTGATGAGCACGGTCATTTGTTCTGTGTCTGAGTGTAATTTATCTATAATATCCGAAAATATGGTTACCATAGAACAGGCTCTGCCTAGTTTGGGATCAGACGGCCGTGTGTGAGATGTGTGACATATATTATTATTATTACATTCTCTTCTTCTAGACCGATTAATTTGTTTTGGACACGTATAAAAGATTAAAAAAATAAAATAATTTATTGTTTACAAAACTAAAGAGTACGCTTTGGCAACAAACTTAACTAAAAAATATAATATTTGATAATAAAACCGGCTCATAGGAGTAAGATTATGATTTTATGTCTAGACATCAAATGTTACAAATATTTTATAAGTATTATTTAGTATTGGTTCTATAAAAATGTAGAAAAAAAGGCCTTCTATGTTCTTTATAACAATCATAAATTGTTGCCCTTGAGCTCTGTCTGAGGACAAAATGAGGACAATAACATAACATGTTTACGATATGGGTACAAGAACATTGCTTCAACCGTAATACGAACTACACGTTTTTGTTCTTTATAAATGCAATTACTTCCAGGCGTATTTATAGTCATCATCATCATCAACAGTCTATAACAGTCCACTGCTGGACATGGGCCTCTCCTTGGAAAGGAGGTTTTGGTCTACTATACCAAGCTGGCCAGACGGGTTGGTATAGTGTTTGTTTCAAGTTTTCTTTCTCTTTGCAGTGTTGTTGTTCTGCGTAATTTTTTCCCTTAGTCGGCTCTTACGACACCCACGGGATGAATTGGGGTGGTGACACTTTGTATTCTTAATCCGTCACCACAAGGACTATTTATAGTAGATATTCGTATAGTGGTCGTCAACCCGTCTGGCCAGTGTGGTATAGTAGGCCAAAACCTCCTTTCTAAGGAGAGGCTTATGTCCAGCAGTGGACTATTAAAGGCTGTTGATTATTCGTATTTTCTTACATGTTAATTTCAAGGATGTTTGACTAGTTTTGTATCCGACTGTGTTAAGAAGGCACTGAAATACTGACGCTACAGTGTCATGGGCCAACTTGGTCAGGAGGATTGACGATGACCACCTCTCGTCGTATCTGTACATGTTGCAAATCAAAAATTAGGAAGAACACAATAAAGAAAATTTTTTTGTTCTTAAAGGCAATTCCCGCAGTATGAATAAATCCTGTGTCACGGGGGACTTAACAAACAAACATGCAACGGACACAAAGAACACCTAGACTCAGAACAACAGTTTATGGATCATACAAAGTGATGTCCCATGTAGGGATCGAACCCACAACACTGTAGTAAGCGGCGAGGTGCATCATTAAATGAGCAAATTTTTATAGGTGTTAATTAGGTAATTCCCAGAATCAGAGGGAGGGTGTGTTTGAGTTCCGGTAACCTCATTCACTTGGTAGGAATCAAGAAGCGAATAAGAAATCTTAACACCGGTTTTCTCTGAGACCATGATATCATTCCAGGCAAGCCGTCCCATTTGTGCTAAAGCATGGCTCACCCACGGTAGAATAGAAGAATCAACTTAGATGAGAACCTTCACGAATTATTTAAATGCGTTTTTTTCCTCTTTTCAGTATATTCTGATGATAGGCTACTCCATCATCACCGTCGCCTCCGGAGTCCTTGCGGTATACACACAAGTAGATCTACCAGTGACCACGCTTTCAATAATACCTGTAGTGTCTTTAGGTATACTAGTCTTTGGATATGGTATAGCTTGGGGACTACCCACTGTGCTCATGGTGGAGATATTTAATATGGAGGTAATTTCTTTATTTCTATGTATAAGTATATATAGGTATAGGTGGCTTGGTGGCAAGTGACTTCCTTTGCCACCAATAAAATCATAGTTGTGTTGACCCTCAAAGGGTGGGGTGTTTGACTCGGGGGTGTGTGCCACTCCCTCAACTTACTCGGTGAAATTCTATGAAATAATTCCTTAACATTCGACACCTTGGTCAACTTTAATAGAGAGGCGCGCCCTTATTCAATTGCATTCGTTAAGTGATAACATAATTTGAAATGATAACGTGATAGATAATATGTTATGTATTCATTTCGTCTCCTAATTTTTATATTATATATGAACTTAAATCGCTAAATGCTAGTATTTTTTCTTATATTTTTTTTGGTTAAACAATTTATAAACATACATGAAATAAACACAAAGAACACCCAAACAAAGAACAACAATTTGTGGATCATACAAAGTGTCGTCCCATGTGGCGACTGCTTAAACCACTACGCATTCCGTGCAGTCAAATATCTATAAACTTAACTACAAAAATAGCTTTTAACTTGGTAATACTACTAAATTAAGATCAATCACGAAATAATATTATATTATCTCACACACAACATATCATAACAAATACTTGTAAAATTGACTAATTGAAGATACTATAAAGTTTTGGCACTTTAGTTTTAGGCAATTGAGAATCAAAGTGATTCTTGTGTATTATACTTATTAATTTTTATTATTATTCGTAATAAACATGCGTTCAAAATTCTGTATTCTGGTATTGTCACAAAAGGTATTCTCGTAGTAAAATTTTACTAAGACTAAAGGTATACCGATTCAACTTTCGATCATAATATGATACAATCACATTACAACAGTCATCTATACAAATAAATAAAATTGGAGTGTCTGTTTGTAATATTAAAATAACCGCTTTTTTCTTAATGCATATGTATGTTTACACGGTACATATGCCAAAATAACATTTTTTACAATTTTTGTCTGTCTGTCTGTCTGTTTGTTCCGGGTAATCTGATCGGGTCTGTTAGCTGATGACATAAGGAGTAACTTAGGCTACTTTTTTTACACTAGCTTCGCCCCGCGGCGTGCCCGCGGTTATAACAACAAACGCGGATAACACCGCGGGTGTCAGCTAGTCGTTGAATAAAATGACAATTGTAAGATCGTCAGTAGATCGGAACTGAATTTTTACCGAATTTTTCAATTCGAAAATTGACCTTCAGATTCTTATCGTACCTGTCCACGTAAAATCATTGCCAAAATAATTAGTTCAAACCACATTACCTATATTTAATAATAAACAAACTTTCGCACAAATGACAATGGATTCTACAAAGGAGATAAAACTCAATACTTGTGGAATGCAATCTTAAAAGCAATTGTACCTACCCTTGTTTAAGTACTATTATCATTAGCTTAGTAAATATATATTTATCTTTTAACTTTCAGATTCGAGCAACATTTATTGGCATTATCTATGCTTATTCGCAAATAATAAAATTGGCTCACGTACACACGTTCAAATACTTGGAATACTACATAGGAGTGTATACTATGTTCTACATATTTGCCGGCGTTAACTTGTATGGTGTGGTGTACGTGTTGTTTGTTGTACCAAAAACGAGGAATATGAGTAATAGAAAAATTGAGAAACAGTTGAGAAGACCATCTTTATGTTGATAGTTATATATTTTCGAAGATTGTAAATAATTTAATATTGTTTTAATTAATAAAATTGTTTTTTTATTTTTATTTATTTTCTTACAATATTTTTACAGATTTTTTCCAATGCGATATTGTAGTTATGTCCCCCCGTATTACTGCAGGCTGCTATCATAAAAATGTATGATTAATGTGATTCCTAACACGACATCAATTTTCCTACACATATTGAGTTTTATTGCAATGGCAGAAGAATACACAAAAATAAAGATACTCAGCTCTTTGGTTCCGTCGTAAATTAAAATATGGTACCTTATGTAGTATACTGACATCAGAATTCAGAGTTATCATTATCCCCGATAGCTCATGAGTGATGATGACTGATGATGAGGAGAAACTTATAATATTTTGTTCTTTTTCTACTCCAATATTATTTTCTATCAGAAAACCTGAAAACATGTTTTAACTTATTTCTTTAGCTTAATAGGTGAGTTCGTTTAGTAATCGTTATATTATGTTGCTGAGCTGATGATGGAAGGATCCTTGACCATTTGGAATTGGAAAATAACTCTTTCAAAAATCTAAACATGTATTGAACTTATTTTATTCTTTCAAGAAATTTGTTAGGTTTTTGTGTTGAATTACAGAGATATGTGCACGAAAGAGTAATACAAGGTGTCTCAAAAGAAAGTTTATATTTAGTAGATCGATTAAAAAAAAAGTAAGCAGTGTATCGAAAAAATGTTTATTAGTTATTAAAGTACACAATTTGGGCATTTATTTCTTAAAAATAATATCCTCCAAATGTAGACCCTCGCGTTCGCGGCACTCATTTAATCGAACAGTAAAATTACTTATGACGGATCGGCAGGTGGACTCAGTGAGGGCTGCCATTTCGTGACGGATATTTTCTTTCAAATGTGCCAGGGAAGTCGGTTTATTCGCGTAAACTTTAGATTTAAGACCCCATAGGAAAAAGTCCATAGGGCTAAAATCAGGACTGCGTGGAGGCCAATTTATGTCACCTCTCCTGGAGATCAATTTTCCTGAGAAAATTTCACAAACTCGTGGCAGAGACGTATTGGACGTGTGTGACGTTGCTCCGTCCTGCTGGAACCATGTTCTTTAGTTATGGCCAGGCAAGTTTTTCAGTACAGGCGCCAAGAAGTCGTTTAACATCTCCACATAACGCTCTGAATTCACTGTAACTGCACGCCCCCTTTCGTCTTCAAAAAAGTAAGGGCCGATAATTCCTCGGGCCGACATCGCAGCCCATACTTTCACTTTAGGCAAATGCTTATTTACGTGTCCATTAACATGAAAATGAGCTTCATCCGAAAACAAGATGTTGGTAAACGTTGAAAAGCGCTCAATCGCCTGATTTACTAAGTCAAGCCTCTGACTGGCATCTTGGGGCTTTAATTCTTGCACCAATTGAATTTTGTAGGGGTGCAGCTTTAGGTATTTGTGCAAAATGCGGTGTAATGATGGTCTATGCACATTTAAAGCACTTGCGCGCTTCCGAATTGAAAGGTTCGGGTCGTCACGAACAGACTGATTAACACTCTCCACGTTTTCTACCGTTCTTGATGACCTTGGTCGCCCGGATTTTGGTTTTTCCAGCGTTGTACCGGTCTCTTCAAACTTTTTGACCCATTTTCGAATAAGAGGAATGCTTGGCGCATCATTTAAATGGCGAAAACCTTGAACACTACAGAACCTTCTACGCGCTACAGTCGCCGAATCACCGTTTTTGTAAAACTCTCGCACGCACAACGTACGGTCTGCTCCCGAAGAAAGCTCCATAGCAACTGAATTCCCAAGACCCAGGCTACCGATTGACATAACCCCCGCGCCCCTCGGACTCGTTGCGTTCACGCAGTAAGCTAAATAAATATAAACTTTCTTTTGAGACACCTTGTATATGAGATTACAAAACATTTAGACAAAAAATGCGTGTTACTCAATTATTTTCATGTTTGTTTTTTATTTGTAAACCGATTATGACAATTCTTTTTTATTTGAAAGGGTATATTTTTCAATTTTTGTTCCATTCTAATGTGAAGAAAAAACACCACTCCTAGTTTGTGAAATTTAAGTAATGTGGAAAATAATATAATTTCGGGGTCAAATGTAACTTCTTACTACCTTATCTAAATAAAGTAACGGACTTAATAAACTATATTTAATATTTATTTATTAGGATCTCCTACGAAAGATATACACAAGTAAAAAACAATAATTAACAGAATGGGTTTAAAGTCGGTGTACTCCTTCACTTACAGGAGACCACAGCAAGCACAGTGAAAAAAATTAATACCATCAACCAAGCGAACAAAGTTACAAGCGATGTTAAAAGTTTAAATTCTTAAAAGTAACAAAAAATATAATTAAAAAATTTGTTTTGATAAAATTTAAAAAATACGAAATAAAACAAAAAATAATAATAAAAAAAACGTTGAGGCTTACATTACATTAAAGCTGTTAAGCATTTCTTATATTTAGACAAACATAGGCATATATCTAATTCAGTAGTTTTGGCTAACGTGTTATATTGCCTACAAAGTCTTGGCACAGCAGCGTAATGACCCATATAATCTAACATACTACAGTTTGGTACTACGAGTATACATTGGGGTACGCAATGTTTTAAATATCGTACTTATCTACTCATTACAAACATATATTACTCTACAACTGGTAAAATAAATCATTTAAAAAAAAATTGAAACGACTTCAAACAATACACACTATATACGCTTCAGCTCTCACTGGAGAACTTTATAGTATTTTAATTAAAACGTGTAAATACAACATTTTTTATATTTATATTCCTCTTCTTATCTATTTCCTAATACACGAGCCACTACCATATACCTCCTTCCTTTCATATTTTCTCTCCATACCACGGTTGTCTGTAAGAGATTGCCTCTGAGCGATAAGGCCGCCACATGTACATACTTGTCTAAGCTAGCTTAAGTTGATTATTTATACCTGGTGTACAATAAAGCAATATTATTATTATTCTCTTTATTTTATTAAATGTAACTACATGTAAAGTACATTTTTAAATATATTTATGTACAAAAAAAATTATAGTTTTAAAAAACTAAAAAACACGCTTTCTATAGAAAACCAAACTAAAAAATAGAAAATAAATTTGAAAAATAGCGTTGGGTGCCTGTTGTCAATAGTAATAAGCACCCCATGGCTTTCTATAGAAAGCGTGTTTTTTAGTTTTTTAAAACTATAATTGTTTTTTTTTATTGGTGTATTGTCATCGGTCTTCGATATATCTACAAAGTTTGAACGAATTCTGACCGTTTAAAGTCAGTCAAAATCACGCCCAAAGAAGTCGGTTACAAATATACAAACAAACCTACAAGTGAAGCTAATATAAAGCGTGTAATATAAAAAATAGTGTCCTATCGGTATCGAGTACAGGGACCTAGATATCTGTGGTTAGGACTCCAGAGACAGAAACCTCGCAATACGTGCCGTATCGAGAAGAACTGCTTTCTGCACCAGGCTCTTAATCCAACTGGAGATGTTGGTCGAGGCTCTTAGTAATTAATCCATGGGCCGGTATGATAATATTATTGTTTATATTATTATTACAACAGCCTGTAACCTACTGTACCTTATGAGAGTAAATAAAAATGCGGGTAAATAAAATTATACCTTCTTAAACCTTCTTCTTTGTATCGCCCTTCATACTCGCGGGAAGGGGTTTTTGGGCATCGGTTACCTCACTCGGTGTATAACAACAAAGGAATTGCTTAACACATGTTTCCCGTTAGGTGTGTGTTCCTATCCTGTGGTATCATTCCGGTCAAGCCGGTGGTATCATTTGTGCTGAAGCATAGCTGTCCCAGGGTATACAAGATTCAACTTAACTGAAAACCTTCACAATCAGATAGTTGACTGATAAGGTATGGTTAAACTAAAGATATTGTTTCTTGCAGTTTTTCGTATTGCCAACCTCAAGTTTGAAGGCGTATAATACCAAAAATACCGTATATCGTTATGGGAGGCTCGACCGGAGTAATGCCACGGCGTCACAGATAACAGGTATTTAACTACACTTTTGGCGTATTTCAATAAGTGAGCGAGGCTATAGGAGGCTCAATAATGAACGGGGTATGTCTGGGATTTCCTTTCAAGGGTACACCTATTAGTACCCGAGGCGACGTGCGGTTTTTCGGTTCGAGTTCGACATAACCACCGGTGTTATCCGGGGGAATTTCCGCACAATAAACAAATAAAGGGGGAATAGAGTACACAAAAGTCGCACAAACCACTTCTGACTCTTGAATTACAGGTGTTAGTAGGTGGTGGTAATCACTTACACCAGGGGACCAGTCTGCTTGTCTGCCCCCAACATTCTCAATATGTCAGGTATGATCCAACTTTCAAAGCAATCTTTTACAAGGCTATTACGAAATAAATAACACAGAATGCCTTTAATCTACAAATTATGCGTATTAAGCAAATATTAGGGGACGGAATAAAATTCTGTGATGTTGGTTATGACAATTGTCAACATAAATAATCACGGTATTATCTACAACATATGAGTGGTAGCATATTCCTTTGTGTAAGGGTTGACGTGGAATTAATTTTACACAAATTAGGGTGGATGTTGTTGCAGGAAGAGTAAAAACCTTATTTTATCACAGTCAGTAACTATATAATTTATTACTTGTATAAATATACAACTCTCTACACTTAAAGATGTTTTTTTCAGTAATTTTTAAAAAATTGTACACATCAAATTCAGTATCGCTGTCGTTTTTTTTAGCATTAGCAAATGTTATATATTTTTGGAATAGCATTTCTTTTTTGAAAGACAACTGCCGCATTAGGAATGTATCCTGTGTCGCGGGGGAGTTCCCCCGCTCGAGTCAGCGGAATGGGGGATTTGGGCTCCGGTAAGCTCACTCACTAAGTGAAAGGCAACGAAAGAATTGCATGAAACCGGTTTTCTGTGAGGCTGTGGTATCACTCCGGTCAAGCCG